CACTTAAGTTTGAATAGTGCTTTCACCTGCACGGATTGTGAACTCTCCTTTGAAAACAACAGGCTAGCCCCACTAAATAAACCAAGTGTCACGATCGTAAGTCCCTCCTCTTAAGGACGCTACAGCTCTTTCGTGTTTCTCTTGATTTTTTGCACCTGCCTCCTGTTCCTGCCCTTCCCTACAAAAGCCGGACGCTCCCACCATTCCAGGCTCAGCTTTGGTAGATGGACGCCCGGAAGCCCAACTACCAGCGGGTCCAGGAGTGGCCCGACGGCGTCCTGACCATCTGGGTCTGGGGCTGGGACCGCCTGGCCCCGTAACCCCTTTTTTATTCCCCCGATCCTTCACTGGATCCCGCTCCAGCTTTTAACTTCTGTCATGTCTGTCTTGGATTGGATTACCTGGCTTCTACCTACACTGGATTCCCCTATGGACTCCCTTTGGACTTGTTTGCCTTGGATCACACCCACCGAGCAGCAGCATACTGTGGACATGCCCCCCTGTTCTTCTTCCAGCCCTGATCCTAGTCTCTTTCCCCTTGTTTGTTTCACTACCCTCTGGATTCTGCCGTCTGCATAATGTCCTGAAAAACGCTTCGTGACACCAAGTGAATCATTTTTCCTATGCCAAAGAGCTTTTTTTTGGGTAGCATGATGTAGAGAATTACAGAACTATCGAGCATAGTTTTTATAGTTTTTTTAAACTTAATTTCTTCATGGCTTATTAGAAATTTATCGCACATGCCATTAAAAAAACTTTGTGCATTCCAATAATGGCACATCTGCTCTATGTTGCCATGACGTGTATATATTGGCTGCATTTGGTGGCCAGACATCCAATTAAGGGACCTTACTCTTGTGTATTTTGTCCAATACCTGTACATGATAAAAACTGGATGTCTTAGAACACCTATGGATAACAAACTAGGATTATTCATTTACCCATAGATATACTTAGTTTTCAATTGGAGAAATATGATTTGAACCACTGAATAGCAATGTCAATAATACCCAAACAATATTCCAAACACAAGGCTTACTATTTTTTAACTGTTTATAAAGAGGACAGTTTTTTTCTTCAATAAAAACATTGTGCATGGTTTACCCACTGAAGCTTTCATTCCCTCATCCTGAGAACACAGTTAAATGACTTTAATACTAAAGCTTAAAACAATACATGGACCCACAGCCAACTCTTGCACGAGCATAATCAATTCCTTACACCTATACAGTATATTAGTTTAGTTTTTTTCTGTAAAGTTCCTTCCGTGTCTCACAATATTGAACCAGCCTATCCAGTAATCGATGGGTTTTATTTTTCTAATTACATGGCTAAAGTATAATCCATCTGTTTTCAATGACTGCTTAGTCCAATACAGCATTGTACTGACCTAAAGCCTAACCGGCACACAGTGGGCATAAGGCAGGGTACACCCTGGATAGGACACCAGTCCCAAAGTACATTTTTAAAATGTACATAGATTTAACACATTTAAAAATCTATGAACACACTTTGTATAAATATGCATTTTTTATTTTATTAAGCATTGTGATTCTGAGCAGATTGCTGGAGCTCTGCAGCATTTCCCTATATTTTATTCAGAAAGAGGTGGCTGCTGTATCACTCAAGCTGCTCAGCTTCAAAGACAAAAACCATGAGCAAAGTAGCTTTGAAGTAGTTGTTGTGAATAAATCAGACATAATTCCTGCTGGGAACACTTAGTCTCCTATATGAAACAATTTCCTGTGTTCACATGCTTTCAGTAACAGTCTGTAACTACCTCTGCACTTTTTCCTTCTGTTAATTCTTCAAAGCTTGATTTGGTTCTTAATGTTTACCTCCCTCTGCCCCTCCTTCTGTTCTTCAGTATTTGGAGGGCCAGCACAATACTGAAATATCAGCTTTTTTAAACCTCAAAAAACAAATTAATTAACTATAAAGGTATAGGTGTGACAAGTGGTGTGAAGAACCCTATGCAGGTCGATAGCAAATGAGTCCAGCAGTGCAAGTCAAAGTCGGAGTCGGGTAGACAGGCAGTGTCGTTATTCAGGAGGGTGCGTACAAATCCAACTGGTGAGACGAAGACAGAGTCAGATCTGCAATCAGTGCCGTTTCCAGGAGGCTTGAAGAAAGGGCTTGCAAAGGTTTCGAAGGTGAAGAGCTCAATAAAACAGTAGAATGTTTAATATCAAGCATTGAAGTGAAGGTTGAGGAGGTTTAAATAGCAGGTGCAGTGAGAAGCGAGAGACGTGATAGGATGATTACTGTAGCTTGTGCGTTGTCGTTTTCGGGAATTGGACCGGGGTAGTGGGGTTGTGGGAATACGCTGGTGTTTATCTGAATTATGTGATTGATTATGTGAGAGCGTGACAATAGGTTTATGTTGTATACATTAAAACAGAGGTCTTCTTTATCCACTTCTAAGTTACATGTTGTCATGAGTTAGTGGTATCAAAGTCTTAATGTTTGCTTTTCACATTCTGATTGTGCTACTTAGTCATAAAGCTTAAGACAGTGTGTAGCATTTGAGGTGTTTGCCTAGTTCCAGGTGGGCAAAGAGGCATATTAGCACATAGAGGGTTCTGTTGGTTTATTCTGGCTAATTTACTTTATGGTAAATTATCCAAGCATTCAGCGGCCATGGAACACAACATAAGAGAGAAAGAAGAAAAGACAAGAAGCAGAAGGAAGTAGAAACACAGTAGAAGACGTGATGAAAAGAAATAACACCATCCTCCGCTTCCACCTCAAAGCTTGTGCCATGCATGGAGGAACTTGTTCTGATCAGTTTTGGAGACCAGAATCCAGCTACATAATCTTAACATCATTTTACAAGCTTTACTATTTTGTTTATTTTAGAAAATTCTGATTTCCTGTGCAGTGGAATCCTTAGACCAAAAAATGTGTTTTTTCCTAATTTCATGATGCATTTCTAGAATTGAGGGATGGGTTCCTGTTTACTTTTGAGCATCCCTGTTGTAGGAATAGAGATTCAGTTCTGAATCATATTCTTTTACAATTTGTTTCTCCTTTTGGTCTTTTTTGGTGCACAGTATTTATTGGGTTACGGGAGGTTTATGCATCTGACTCAGAAATGCATAGTTTTTGTACATATACAGTATAGCATGTAATCATTAAATGTGGTGTGTTGTGAAATTGTTTTCTATTATTATTTCTAACAAATATTTGTTTCTATCAAATTTTGACTCTGGTTTTGTTATTTAATTGCCAGATCTGTGCTGCAGAATATAATGAATTCTCAAGCCATTTCACTCATGCCTCAAATTGTACCTAGGCTATGCTTCTGTTTTCACTACATTTTTGTGACATTTTGTAGCAATACCTTTTGACTGAGTTTAAAAAAGACAGTGAAGATTTATGCTTTTGGTAGGATACTGCACTGAGTATAAACATAAGGAAAAATCCAGTTATTCAGAGTCAGGAGTTACTCGAGTAAATGTTGAGCAAAATGGCATTACAATTTTCTCAGAAACAAAATGCATTTTTAATAGAAACTACCAATGGCATGGTGTAGGGTGGCATCTGAAAAATCATCTTCCAGCCAATTAGAATTGTCATAATGCTTAGATATTTATTTATATGAGTAATACTTAATTTATATAACTGCATTGCTTAAGGGTCATTTTATGTCAAAGGGACAGCCATGTTCAGTTACAATGACTATATCAACATTGAAGAATTCCAGCTCTTCAAGTTATTTGTATTCTTGATTTCTGATAAGACTGCAAACCTACAGTACCAGTTCTTCAACATTTCAAAGTATGAACCAGCACTTAACATTTTATAGTATACTGAAAATAAGTCTTCATTATAATAATTGGTCTTACCTGGCAAAATAAATATTTGATTTAACTGTTAATGTTCAATCCTGACTGCCTCAGAAAACTATTTAATTACCTTGTGGTAACTGGAAGATGTACTTCATAGGAGAAAATAAGACATACTGATTTGCTTGTAAATGTCTATTTTCATTGGCAGAGACAGATTAAATGATCGATGTAAATGATTTAATTGAAACAGTTCCATGCATAATGTAAAAGGTTGCTGATATCATTTAATGAATTCTATCAGTATACCACTGACTAAATAAACACCTCAATTATCAAATAAATCATCTCTGTTTACTAACTAATGCTCAATAATGGAAAATGTTTATCTGGTAGACACGCTAAGACCTAGCATCTAATTTCCTGTGTGGTTGCTGTTGGAATAAAATCCATCAGCAAAACTACTTCCACATTAATAAATCATTAAATGTTGTCACTTAGAGGATGGTGCCTCAAGAAAACACGATGCAAAAATAGAAAATGAAATGATGTCACCACTTACATGACAACCAGCAATCTCAGGGAATGGAGCATAAATAATTATTTTTTTGTTCATTCCAAAAATGTGCACTTACATTTGCTGCAGACTATGTACAGATTTATAATTCCTGAAGACCCACAATCTATCAGGTATTTTATTTGTCTTCAATTTGTGGTTAAACATCATGTTTGGCTTGACAAATGAACGGCTCAAATAATTTTGTCTTTTCTCATTTGGAATGAAAAGCAATCATTTTTCTTCAGACCTAGTGACCTATGACCTATAACATGGAACTAATAAAGACATAAGGAAAATAGAAAATAGATGTTTATACGAAAAAAGGAATTTATTTAGTCCTCCGATATACTCCAATTTTTTTTTTTAATTGGCAGCATGGTGGGACAATAGTTAGCCTTACTGACCTGCAGTGATAGGGCCATGGGTTCAATCCCTGGGGTGCTATCTGCATGGAATTTCTATGTTTTTCCTTCTTCAGTCTAAAGACATACTGGTAGGAAAACTGGTCCTGGTGTAATTGTGTGTGTTTTTATCTGTGTACAGTATGCCATGTGATGGACTGACATCCAATCCATTGTGCCGCAAGGCAGCAATGCTAACCACTGTGGTACCGTGGTTCCCCATATAAGACAAAAAATGACTATTTTCCTGACCTTCCCACTGTGGCAGCCAGGCAGAGACAAGAGAGGCTCCCTACTTCTGTCTCCAGTTTTCTGGTCAATTCCAATCATCTGACAACGATTGCACTGTCCCACAACCTGAAAAACACAAAACCAGAAAAAGTGACTTAGTGTATTTGTTTATTCTGACCTGTTATCTGCTCATTCCTTCACCTGTCCTCCCTTCCATCAATGTCGTTATGCTTCTGCCTAAAAGAAGAAATTGTGCAAAAACTATCTCACCTGAAAAGGGGTTTGGCCTACTGTCACCTTTGTCCAATTATCTTCCTCAAAGGGCTCCTTCCCAGATACCACTAGGTTGGCACGGAAACGCTCAATAAGCTGCTCTGTGTTGAACTGCAGGCAGGTACTGGAGTCACTTCTGTAACATGCAGAGATAATAAAAAAATGGATGAGGCAATCAATTCTCCTCTCCTCCTCTGTATAAACCTCCTGCATCAATAAAAGCAGGACACTTTAACAGAGCTCTATATATTTTATATATTGCTCTATTACATAAGAGAAAGTAAGCTGCAGAGAGTGCAAATCAAAATAAAGGTTCAGACAAAACTCTTGAAACTCCTGGGTGTAATATAAGACAGATATTAATACGAAAAATACATTCTACAGCAAAAACTGTAAAACCTGCAAAGAAAATTCAAAAAGACTTGAAATTAAAGATCAGAAAAATGTGTAGAAGACATTTAATGTAGGTAACTGCAGAATATAACATGCAAAAACATGAACTGTAGATAAAAAAAAGAAACGCTGAGCTTGATGAAACTTCTTCTGCAGGAGTTTGAGTTTTTTTTTATTATTTACATCTTCTAGACATTGTGGGTAAAAAAAGGCCAAAAATGGTAAGGATATATAGATAAAACATAACATTTACAAGGGATAGTATGTTAAAATTGTTCAACGCACTAGTAAGACCTAATTTACAATATTGCATACAATTTTTAATAGCACATTGCAAAAAAGATATTGCTGCTTTGGAATTAATCCATAGAAGAACACCCAAATACTCTATTGGTCTTAAATTATTTTCCTACACAAAGAGCTTAAAGAACTAAACTCTTTAGTCTTAGAAAAAATGACAAGAAGGCTTGTTTCAAGTATTCTAAATCTTCAATAACATTTACTCTTTTCATAAGGATCAGAAGGAAAACATTAACTTGAAGGCATAGACTGGGAATCTACAGTATATTGCATTTAGAAGTGCATTTAAATCTGAGAACATGAGGCCCTTCCTTACATAAAAGAATGTGGGATTCTTGAACAAGCTACTGAACCACCCTGTTGAAGACGATTTTGTGAATTGGATCAATTAACAGTTAGCACCCAAATGTGTAGATGGGTTGAATGATCACCTCTAATTTGTACTTCTTATATTGTTAAAAAAGTCACAGGTTGTTCTTAAATAAACCCTGTATGGCTGTATGCACACATTGCAAAAGCCTTGTCTGCAAATAATTTCCTCTGGCTGCTGAAGTGTATGAGTTGATAATAATGTTTACTAGTTTCTTAAGATCAGCACAGCATTTATGCAGGTCTACAGAAGTCTGTATCAGACTGGGTACTTACCTGCTGGTGATGTGGTCCTGAAGTAACTGGATGCTAGCTCTGTTGATCATCAGGTACTGGGCTTCATTCACTAGTGAAAGTGAGGTGCGTGATTTGCCTGGAAGTAACAGAAAACATACTTACTCTTCTTGACAACAAACCAAGCCTCTGTTTAAGAGAAAGATGTTCTGTCTCTACATTAAAAGAACTAGACTCTGTCAGGTATACAAACAGTTAAGGCTGTAGAATACGATTAACAAGTCAGTCTGGGTGGTTGCTGTTACAGTAACCACTCCATTATATTTACCAGGAGGCAACAGAAAATTGCACAATATTGCATTAAGATAAAATACATTTAACAATAAGCACACAGATTTTAGAACGTGAACTTGTACAGGATAGTAAATAGTGATTCAGGTGCAGAGTCACAACATTAACCAGAAACCTCTTGCTACTTCTATATTTTCCTGAATCACTGCCCATACCTTAGCTTTCAAGCTAAGAGTAGACAAGAAAAGGGGAGAGCTCACTGTTTTTCTTACCTTGCAAATGGCCTTTCTTTACATTTCTAGAGAAGTCAGCCCTCTGCCTGATGAGCCGACACGTTTTTCCCAAGAATTCAGATATCCAACCTGCTACCTCATCTCCACAGTCTACCGTCTGCACCCTGGTGAAGAAACAATACCATTTACTGAACCAAAACAAGTTTACAAAGTTTAAAACCCAATTTAAGAAATTCAGCTTTTATAAAATGAAGACAAATGTGACTACTGACCTAAAATCTGTCCTGTAATTACTTTCCTGAATTAGTTTAACAATGATATTACCCAGTATCTGTATCAATCAAATTTATTTTTGTGTAGTACCTTTCAGTCAGAACACTGAGCTCAGTAGTAGTGACAGGCAACAGATTAATGGAAATTGTTTAAATTAGGTTAACCTTTAGCACCCCATTACAGATTGAAAAAACTGATAAAGCTGGGGCTTTTATTTTATGAAGATGACAATATTGAGGTCTCACCTGTCTCCACAGACTTTGGTCTGACACACCTGCACTGTTTGCTTTTCCTGGCTACTGCCTTCCAGGGGAACTGATATCAGACTCATTCCTGAAAGAGAGGGTGAAAGCACTGTTCATTAGCCAACTGTCAGTTTAGTTAAATACCAAATTCAGGTTTCACCTTCTGTTAAAGACTTTGGTGTCATTACGTACTGTACTTATCTGAGGTTAAATACAGGTTTTTACTTTGACTCCGATTGAACAGGCTTTTTTTTTGGAACAAAATCTAAAACTAATAACGATCCTAATTATATAATTACTTCTGTTTATTCCATTACTTTACTCAGACTTTATAAGTTGATTCAGTTTCCCAAATTAACCTTCATTCAGTTTTCCCAGTGTTCCAGAAGATGGTGCTAAATTATAGCCAACGATGGCTGAGAGAACAGAATGGGCATCTTGAAGTCTGCTTTTTAGTCCAGTGATCTTCAAGGCTATGAGTGCAGAGAATTATGTATTCTCATTCAGATACAGTGGTAATGATATAACAGCAACTATATAAGGTGGTGTAAATTCCACACAAAGTTTTGTGTAATTTGTTTACTTTTCAAGCTTTATTAATGTAAACATTGATACCTAGAAACTTGGTTCGATGTTCTGAAAAGGATTTTAATTTTACATTTTCTTTAACAGTTCAATGAGAAAATCAACACATTTCCAAAACTTTTGATCAAGATTTAGTGACAGAGCTTTTGAAACAAATCGTATTTCACTTTAAGCTTTATTACATGTTTACTTGTTACTTGTTTAGAAAACCTCTGTTGTTAATTTTGAATAAAAAGGCTGTCTCTTCAGATTTTGGGTCAAGATCAATACTCCATTTGAAACAATGATTTGGGTGCCAGGGTGAATCTGATAAACCCCCTGTTAGTCTGAATGCGTATTTTTTCAGATATTCCGTTTGCAATGAGCTGCTCCAAGGTTCTGAGAGGATGCTGTGTTATACAGCAGGGCAATGTACAACCTCAGCAGGCCTTCAGTGCTTTGACACTGAAGTAGGGCGCTTTCCCTGGCTCTGTTGCCATGGAGCTGTGCCTGACCTTCTGCGCTCAAAGACAGCTTGCTGTGCTGCAGACTGATGTGTGGTCGGATGAGACATAGCTTTGGCTCCTGCTTCTGGCTTAGGCACACTCCATTCACATTCACCACCATCCAGATACGGTCGTAAAGCAGGCCTCTCTCTCCAATTGGCCACTCCCTCACCTGCGAAACCCACAGGAGCAGAGAATACACAGTGGGTTAAAAGAAGTCCCTATGGGGTTTCAGTACACCATGATGATCTGAGTCACTGGTCACACAATGATGACTAACACATACTGTAATATACTGTTATTCATCACAACCATATTGCAAATTGCTCACTTTACTGCATTAAACTAACTACAGGCACATGGCATGAAATAACGGTCAGGGCTCTCTGGGCTCCAGACTGGAGAGATTGGCTTAAATCCTGAGCAGGAGGCTGGCAGTCTGGGTGGGAGCGAAGTTCTGTACTGCATAAGTGCCCTGTAGTATAAATGGGTCTCTAGGCCAGCACTGTGAATGAGAATTTGTACTCAGTTGACTTAGCGTGGAATTTATAAAATCCTGAATTAATGCTGTAGTTCCTCTTCTTTAATTCCATAGGTGCTATACAAGTCAATACTGATGGATTGTTCCAGTCTATTATAAAAAATATTATAAAGAAATGATGAGATTATATTTTACTTAGCTTTAGTTTACCAGGGAGTTCTCTGTTGCTGTTTCTGCTTTGATTGGGATTTTGCTCTCTATTCTAGTAAAAATAGCTTAAACTTATAGCATGCAAATTACTGTAAATTCCCACTCCTTCATGTTTATATTTTTTGTGTGAAAATACATTTGTTACCAGTGCAGATATATTTTGTGCACAATCATCACTCAGTCTTGTCTGGCTGATACAATTATCTAGCATTACCTACAGGTGTTCACTAAACCTGCGAAACAAAAACTTGCCTCATCTTGACTCTTGCTTTCAGCTGTCAGCCAAACTCTCTAAACCCATTTATCATTAAAAGGCCTTTTTATTCTCCTTAGGATGCTTAGTCATCTCTGCAGTCAATGATCTGCCCTGTGACACCAATCTAAAACAAACTTATTTTTCAACGAAAAACAAAATGTTTAAAAAACATTCTCTCTATTACTCATCATCTGTTCAAAATAATGAAGACAATTTTATGCAAGGGGAATTGTACTAGGTTGAAATTTTCCAAATATAAAAGATTACAGGATTTCATCCTCTCAAATATGGGGTAGGTCTTGCAAGAAGTCTTTAATTATAGCTTCCATTATTCCCGACTCCCACACTACCCTCCCTCTTTGTACATGAGCCTGAAACTAGAAGCTACAATTTTACAGATGTTACTCACTAACATTATACAGCAAAAGAATTGTTACTCTTTCTAATAATGAGGGAAAAAACAATTCATAATATAGGCAATTGTTTATCCCAAATATGTACTGTACATTAATTAGTATTATAACAGGTGTGGGCAACATGGTGGTGCAGTGGTTAGCATTACTGATTCACAATGCTGGGGTCCTAGGTTCATTTCCTGGGGTGCTATCTGCATAGCGTTTGTAAGTTTTCCCCACGTCTGTGGGATTCTGACAGGGCTCAAGGTTCCTCCCACAGTCCAAAGACATACTGGTAGGTTTATTGCACCAGGTGCACCACTATTTATTGCCAAAGGCGAGGGCAGTGTAGCGATGTAATTGTTTGATTATGATGTGATTTAATGAAGTTATGTAGTGAATTGATGTAGTTACAGTATATAGTGATGTAATTGTGTAATTGTGATGATCCCACTGTAATCATGATATAGCATCTGAGCAGGTTAAAGTCTACAAGGTTTCCTGAGATCCTTAATTTCCCTGAAGAAGCTCCTGTCACGCCTCACACAAATGCCATTACTTTCCCAAACCCACTGTTTCACTATCTCATTCCTAACTGAACCCACCACATTCTCACAGGCACCAGATTTGGTAAACTCCCAAAATGTATGGTACAGTATTAACTAACTTTCTCAACCCAGTCTCCTTGTAATCTGAAACAAATCATGGTAGTGAATATGCATGTCAGAGCTCCAGGTGCTTTAGAAAAGCTTTCAGCATGTTATTTGAACACTGATGACAGGAAAACCTACTTAGAGATAGTTGGATGTCAACTTTAAGGAGAATTGTAGAAGAAAACCTTTTATACAGTAGGTGGTTCAAAGAAAGTTTAACAGCAAGGTATCCTGGCTCTTGCACATAAAAAGCAAGCAACTCTTTAATATAAACTTGTTGTGAATGTTTTTAAAAAACAATATTTCAATACTTAATTTATAATTGTGTTGCTTTACTTTCAAAAAAATATTTTTCATCTTTGAGTCAAAGCACGTTTGTGCCCCCCTTTTTATAAAACATTGGCACTCACAGTGAATGCTGGATTATCTTCTATAATGTGGCAGTTTTGCAATATTTGTACAATATTTGCTTCAGGCCATCAATAAAAAGTTGATAGAAAACAGTGTCAGTGCCAGGTTTCTCAAGGTCCCAAGGTCATCTGTGATAAAGGGTTGAGATGGAAAAACTGGTTGATAAACTGGTCATAAGAAAAGCCATGAAGAAGTGACTTCTTGACTATTGGAGGTGGAACATGAAATTAGTACTACCATTCTAGTCCATAAGATAGCAACATACTGTATCATAATATACTGTACTGTACAGTTTGTTATACATTCACTTTTTAAAGTCAATGACGAATTTAAAGGTTAATGAATTCTTATTTTACAAAAGAAAAGATAATTCTATGACACCCCACTCTTGAACAATGTAGATCAAGGGACTTAAACACAAATCTCCCAATGGCAATACTAGGCAGGAAGCTTTATTTTAGCATTTCTGCTGGTCTTTTCAACACAAAGCAGCCTTTCAAGACTACTGTCAAACATCCAGCTCCCAGGAGAGCCATACTGTATATATACCCAAACAGTCCACCTCCCATGAGAAAACATTGAATTAATCAGTGCCAATAATCCCAGTATTCTAATTAAGTAAGGGATAATTACCCAGTGTTTCTATTTACAGAAGACAGGGGTCTTTTGTGGCTTCTAGCAGCAGGTCAGGTGTTTACCAGTCCCCTCAAAAACTGACCTGCTACTAGAAGCCAAAGGCCTCTTTGCCTAACCATCTGGCATCTATCACTTGAATAAAACCAGTTCTTTGGAAAATCTTGTTCTCTATTATTCTCCACTTTCCTCTCCATTATAGCTACAGTCATAACAATGACTCGCCATTTATTGGGCCTGATTAGAAAGCCAGGATTTTACAAATGTTTTCCTAAAAGAAGTAGTATAAGCCATGTTGGAAATATTGTAGAAAATAGGGAAAAACATCTGTTTGTCATGGACCAGGGACTCTTGCACTGAATCAATACTGAAAGGATGGGCTGGATTTAAGATGGCAATGGATTTATTTCTATCTCTTCCATCGCTAGGATGAGCTGGCACACAGGAATTTCATTATATAACATCAAAAAGTGTGTATGGAAACTCATAAATTCCAGATAAATGGGATGGAAGGGAACACATATATTCTCTGAGCATTTCACCTGATCTTGTGTGTCTCTGCTCAAATTAATCACTGCATATTTGATTTGGAAAATGAATACCAATATAAATAACATCTGCGACTCACTTAAGAGTTCTCTATTACATCTTCTTCTTAATGTCAAACTCTGAGAAATGATCTTGAAGAGCTTAATCTTAGGAGAGGTGTTGTAATATATCTATTTCACAAATGCTTTGAAAACCAGTAGCACTATAAAAGAAGAGTACATTTTAAAAACATTTAAGAAAAGAAATACACTTAAAATACTATATTAAATACATATCCCTGGGGCTCCAAAGGGTCCGGCAGTGAGATGTTCTGTTCAGCTGTTGTAGGCTGTTGTATTTAATCAGAAACTGCTGTTCAGTACCTGGTAAAAAGATCCTTGTCTTTTCTGACTGTGAAGTGCCTTTAGATTCTATATGGAAGGCACTAAATTAATTTAATCCCCCTGCCAACACGCCAGCTTTCACATATAAAGTAATTAAAGTTAGAAGAGTCCCTGCAGATCCTCGGCAATGAGATATTAAGACAGAGGTTTACATTGCAATTGCACTGAACAAGAGCTGACCACAACTTGCTGAAAGACATTTCAGATAAATTTGTAATGGATTATTACTTGCAACCCCTGTTGATTATGCTGAGTTATTCCAAAGACTGAGTTAGGACAGCTCCTGAAAAAAAAATTGTAATTTACTGAAAACACTGAACTAAATATGTAAATGGCTGAAATATTAATATAGTTTAATGACCATCATCCTGTTACAATTAAGGTGAGTGGTTACTTAAACCATATTTAATTATGCATAAATTATGCATAAATAATGTATGCTAAAAGTCTTGCCTGGTATAAGTGTAAGAGGCTTGAATATAGAATATTAAATATTATGGATAAAAATGAAATGTAGTTAATACAGATAAACACAGACAATACAGGTAATCTAGAAATGTAAGAAGAATCAGTCATGCTACATTTGTTGACATATTGTCCTTCTCTGTATTTTATTATGCTATTTTATACAATGGATATTGAATCTGAACTAAAGCATTCTTGTATATTCATGTATAAAACATACTGGGTAGACTTTTACTGCTTTTGAACAACTGTATACTGAGTTTGTTCTTGTACATGTATTTCAGGGGTGGGAGGAGGTACAAGGGGCTTTCCTTCTTTTGTATTCACAAGAAGAAGGAAGGTACTCAAGTTTCAGCTTTGATGAATTTAGTGCTCATATAAGGTGATAGTCTGACAGTAGTGTTGGCTGTAGCCTTGTGTATCTCATTAGAGGAGGAGCTCAAAGGTTATCTGCACTGCCAGGCTTGCATGTAAACTGTCCTTTATCTAGAGCTATGTAAACAAGCAAACCTTCAGAAGGAGACAGAGTAGGCTAACAGGAATAATGAGTAGGGAAAAACCAGAAATATTCAATCTTTTTGGAGCATGGCTGGTGCCCACGAGAGTCAAAACTGTATATACAAGTAAAAAAAACCAAGGAAACAGAATTCTTATTCTTATATCCTATTAGAATAAACAAGTGTATAATAGCATTGCCTCTAAGGAAGAGAGTTTTTGAAGCATTTACAAAAAAATA